GCAAAAGAAGCAAAGCCGGGCCAACCTCCGCGGCCGAGGCCTCCAGGGTCAGGATATGTGGCTGACATGTGGTTGGGGTTGCGGTATAGATCGGTAGAGTACAGTAGGTGTAGCAGTGTAGCTGTAATTTTAAACGACGTTGAGGGTGCCGGAGTTGAGGGGCGGTGGGTTCTTCTGCAGCCTACGGGTGAAGTGAAGCTCCAGCTCGGGAGTTATAGAAGGCTGCATCCCACAGCATTCCGGCTTGATGTGGTGCGAAGATGCCCAGAGCACAGCTGCGACGAGCCGACTCACAGTTTTTTTTTTGAGGTGCAGGCGCGTCACGATTCTGAGATCTGAACAGTCGCCAGCACACCCCTGCGATCTTCTGTGCAGGGGAAAAACGGTTGAAGGCAAAACTTCGGGCGGAGCCTTTTCAAGGTTTCGATTGGCTCTTCCGCTGGCACTGCGTGCCCCGCGAAACATTCCTCCACGTTAAAACCATCGGATCGCGGAACTATATAGCTATTGAGGGTGGCATAATTAATTCAAAAAAGTGGGAGGGTTTGGTGTAAAGCAGGGGCCGCGTGCGCTGCACTCGAGCGACCTCTGGCGACAAGCCAAGCGGAGGCAGGCACAAGCCATTGCAGCCGTGCGCTGGGCTCGGCTGGCCGCGTGTCACCGGAGTCTGCATGAATTCAGCTGCAGATGCACTTTATGAATGGCTTCTCGCGCAAGCATCAACTGCTCGCAGAAGAATCATCCCGACCTCTTCGTCGGAAAGCAAACGCCTAGGCGCCTAGTCCATGTAGTCGCCGGCGGTGACTGGAATGGAGGCTCCGCCATCCCTGCTCTCATCCGAGGGCCCCTACGACTGCGCAGACTGGCCTTGGCCTCTTCCGCCTCGTCGAATGGGCGGCTTCGGCTTGTGGCCCAAGCTGAGGATGCAGGCCGGGCGGGAGAAGACCGCCACGGGGAGGTGCGGCTCGAAGATGATTTTCAGGACCTGACACTTCATCGGCCGAACCGCGGCGCTGGTGAGGGCCACGGGCTCCCCGCAGTCGAGCATCACGAAGTCCCCGGCTTTCAACTTTCCAGCGGGTAGGAAGCGTCTCTTCTCCGACTCGCCCTTGGCATCGGCGACCTGCACCAGGTGATCGGGGGTCACCTGCAAGGTCGCAGCGCCCGCGTGCAGGTCGACGATCTCCGTCGCTTCGCAGATCTCCGGGGTCTTGGCCACTGTCAGGATGGTGGCATCATCTCCGGCCACGACCTGCGAACCCTTCTTGAGGTCCCTGCCCATCAAGAAGAAGTCCGTGCCGTAGCTCCGCGTCTTGAAGATGGCGTCCAACATGAAGCAGTGCGGCTTCGCGGAGTCCGGCTTCACCGAGAACCAGGACGAGTGGCTCAGCAGCGAGGAGGATGTGCCATCGTCCTCCACGAAGCTGTATCCCAGCTGCTCGGCAAGATTGGACTCCCGGCCGCTAGCAGCTACATCGTTGAAGGCTGGGCCCCCAAAGTGCTGGGCGTCTTGCTTCTTCCTCCGAGTCGTGAGCTCGTGCTCCAGGCCACGAATTCTCTCCTTGTACATGCCGATCTCTTCTCGCAGATCCTGCATGAGATCCAGCTTCACCTCCGCTTTGGCAAGCTGATGCTGCAGCTGGTCGCACCGTTCTTGCAGCACCGCCTTCTCCTTCTCGAGCTGCAGCTCGGCCTTGCTCCCGGCCTTTTCTGCCGAAACGGGGTGGGAATCTGTCTTCGGGCAGCGCTCCTGGTAGCTACGGCTCTCCTCTTGCAGTCGCTGCACTTGCAACTGCTTCTGCGCGGCATCGGCCTCGGCCTGCGCCAGAAGCTCCTTGGTCTTGGCATGCTCGGAAGCTTCTGCATCCATGTGCTTCGAAAGCTCTTCGCAGCGCTCCTGGCACTTGCCATGCTCCTCCTGCAACTGCCCGAGCTCCTTCTGCAACTCCGCCGCTGCCGTCTCCGCAGCTGCCGCACGAGTTGCAAACTCCTGGCACTGCTCCTTGCACTTGGTGCTCTGGCCCTGCGCAGCTTGGAGTTCCGCATCCTTGCTGAAGAGCTGTGCCTCCACCGCGGCTAGGCGATTGCGCAGATCTCGACACTCCTCCTCCTGCGATTTTCGGAGCTCCGCTTCGAGGCGCCGGCGCTCGGCGGTCTCCTCTTCGAGCTTCTGCCGCTTCCGCGCGGTCTCCCGGCTCTCGGCCGCCGCGAGCTGTTCCGCGAGCTCCCGGCAGCAGTCGCGGTGGTAGGGCCTGTGCAGGTACCAAGCCACATACTCCTCCCGCTCCGCTGCTGAGTCGCACGGCGGACCTCGCAGCAGCCCGGCCTCGGAGAAGCGCCAGTGGCACCACTCGTACTTGCCGAACTCGGCCGCCCCGTGCCCGAGCAGCGCCTCGCTGAGGAGTTCTGTCCTGGTGGCCTCGCGCTCCGTCACAAAGCGCTCCCGGCACTGGCTGAGCCAGGCCTGGGCTTCCGCCGGCCGCGAGGCCCAGAGCTTCACCAGCCGGCGGCTCACCGCCTCGTCAGCTTGCTCCAACGGAGCATCACCTGCGCCATAGCAAGCCAAGTAGACGAAGGCGTCGATGACGGTCGCCAGGGGCCAGCCGGCGGGGACTTCGGTGAGGTATAGGAGAAATGTTGCTTCGGACTGCTGCGGCATGGCGGAAACTCGCGAGGCTGACTTCTGCTCTGGGCGGAAGGCGCAAAGCGTTCGGATGCGTCTTGGACCGAAGTACCTTCACCCTCTGCACAATTCGACACATCCCTATATATAGCACAGCAACTCGACGGATTCGTTGAAGACAGACGTCCCTCAACAAGCACACGCATCGAAACCGAGCTACATCGAGAGGCTCAGCACAAATTCAGATCATGCATGGCTATAGCCGTTATAGCCCATGCCGCACGCCTTGCTCCATCTTCGTAACATTGCGGAAGTGCTGAGTTAGCTGGCCTCTCTGCGCTCCCATGGTGAGCTGTTGCTGCAAGCCTCGGTCTCAGAAGTTGCGTTCACAAGCTGGGAAGGCTTTTGGGATGACGGGGAGCGGTCCTCCGTCACGAAACTTGTCACAAGCACAGAGACTCCTGATATAAAAAAGTTGGCTACGTTGCTTCGGAGCATAGACAGACTGGTGGGCTGCCGTGTTCTTCCAAGAACCTTGGAATCTTCTACATCAGCTGGTAACAACTTTTGAGTCATGTTGGCTCTATTCTGCATCAGCTGGTCCCTAAGTCCTGAACCCTAAGCCCTAAACCCTGAACCCTGATTTGGTGTTTTGGGGATTTGGGGGGTTCAGTTTTTCCGGAGGTTTGGGGGTTCAGGGGTGTCGGAGGTTAGGGGTTTCTGGCTGGCCCGCCGACCTAGAACTCGTGGTGACCTCACAGCCGCGCTGGAGAGAATTTCCCACCCGCGCGCGTGGAAGCATCAGGATGAACCATGGGCTCCAAAGTAGTTCCTTTTGGTGGCATATATTTAGGATCCTATAAGGTAACCCCAAGAAGGAACTACTTTGGAGCCTATGGGTAAAAAGTCTGATCTTCAAAGAAGTGTCGGCATTCCATCTGTAGACGCATGAACACGCCATGGATGTATTGCACATATATGTGTTGGGTCTTGGTTCGCTTTTCACGGATACAACAAGAGTCAGCCCTGCCCACAAGTCCTCTCATCTCAAGTGGAGAGCATGTATGAGGTTTAGGGCTTATAGGGTTTATAAGCTGTAAACCACTCTACACCGAAAGACGTTTTGGCTTCTACAGCCTCACCTGGACCATGTAAGCTTGAGGCCGTGATTCCCAAAGAATCCACGAGGCGCACGCAAGATCAAGCAAGGGCTGTGCAGCTGAAGACCTCGAGAAGGCTCGACAAGTGCCAGCGTGGGAGCGGAAGGGGCAAGTGCTAAAGGTTGAGGAAATGATATACGATTTAGGGTTGTAGATGAGGACGTGACACTCGCAATTCCGTGCTAGATCGATGGCTGAACAACCAGCATCAAGCTTCACATTGCGAGGCGCAGAGGACAGGTTCAGCCCATCGGATCCGAATTGAAACATCTGACCTTGTCCGTCTCGTGCTGAAGCCCCGCGAAGCCTGAAGTCTTCCGACCGTGCCCTGACGTCCCTTCTTCAAGCCTTCGACGACACTTTCGACTCAACAAGCTGGGTCGACCACCATGCAGATGCGAGGCTTTGCATGGGCCTCTGCTGTCGGGGATTCGAGCAACATGTCGCTGGTGAATATGGGATGACTAGTGTGACGAGTGCAAGATATAGACATGATAGGCATGGCGCTCTAAACTCATCGCCAGGTCAATAGGCAGCTGTTGAAATGGCCCCTGAATCCCAAGCGCAGCCATGTCACACGCAATGGGTAGCTGCCACCCTTCTGCAACTTCCTGGAAAACAGCTTGAGCCACTTTGGACCGAGCCCATTGGGCTTATAGGAGCCTGTCGTTCAACCCGACCTTGGCTCGAACAATCGGCAACTGCATTCAGCCGTTCTACGGCGCATTGACACCGCATCGCTTTTTGGATCCCATGCCTTCCCTTCAATCACAGCAGCTCCAACGAGTGTTTCTCGCGTCAATGCTGTGGCATCTAGCTGATCTAGCTGAAACAAAAGTCGCGTGGTTCCTGCCACACTTTCCGACAAATGTGTACCTTCGCTACCGGGCATCGAGCTTTGCTAAACCCGAAACCCTAAACCCTAAACCCTAAACAACAAATTGTTATTGAAATGCGTTGCTGTGTGGGCGCAGAGCTCCAAGAGCTCAGGATTTGCGCCATTGCCGGGCTTATTCTTTTAATCATGGTATGTAAAGGCTGCACCTAGCAGGAATTTGGGCTTTGTCCCAACTGCTCCGAGGATTGCTTTCTCAGTCGAAAACAACAGCAAAATGCAACACAACATGAGACCACAACAAGCTACACTGCTACACTTGTGGCGCAGTATCAAGCTCGCATTGAGACATTACCGTGGCTTTTCACGATGCTGTTTCAGCTCACCTGGTGTAGGAATACGAGTAGTAGCCCTTCCCTGCCCTGTTGCCCTTGCAGTATAGATTGAAGTCCCTGCATGCAGCTTCACGTCGCAGCATCCAACTCCAGCACTTCAAGTACAAGGTCTTGCAGGATACTCCTGAGTTGTAGTTTGGGCTCTCCGAAATTATGTTTGGATATGTCCCTCTACACCGTCTACACCACGAGGAAAGCCACGAAAAGCCTGTGAAAGGTGTACGGAAGTGCCACTCAAACTCGAAATCCCAAACCTCCAAGCCCAAATCAACTGTAGGAAGTGCCACTGAGACGCTGGGCTCTTGGGGGGTGGGCTCCGGCACGGGTTCAGGAACCTCCTCTGCCGACGTGCTGGTCACCTCAACCGTCTCGCTGAAAATCTGATTGCCTGACAGGTTCGTGGCAGTATGTGACGCAAGTATAATTAGGGCTTGCAAGGTCAACTGGGATTTGGGGGGGCTTGTTGAGCGGGTTGGCTTCGTGGCCTTCGACTACTTCCAGGGCGGCTCATTAAGAGGGCAGGGTATTGCGCGTATTGAGAGGACTGGAAGGTCATGCAGGTGGAACTTTTGGTGGCTTCCCTGACAGGTTCGTAGGCAGTTCCCAAAGTCAGTGTGCTCAGAAGCTCTAAAGGCTTTGGTCAGAACTCATCAACGGTCCTTTTCTAATCTCTGGAAGAGATCTTACAGTTCAGCCTGTACTTCGGGAGACCCAACCCAACCATAAACCCTAAACCCTACCCATAGGCTCCAAAGTAGTTCCCTTTGTGTGGCTTAGATATAGGATCCTATAAGGTAACCCCGAAAAAGGGACTACTTTGGAGCCTAACCCTATACCCTAAACCCTAAACCCTAAGCCCTAAACCCTAAACCCTAAACCCTAAGCCCAAAACCCTAAACCCAAAGCCCTAAAATGTAATGTGTTCGGGAGACACAGGCCTGCAATGGACGTGGTGATCGCCATCGCCAGAGCTGCGCTGTCCACATTTTCGACGTTGTTGGCGATGGGGGTGGGATCATAGACGGAGAGGTTGGCTTGCGGAATGCTGATCAGGAATTCTGCCTGCAATGTGTCCTCCCGCCCTTCCTTCCTCACCTCACCCTGCAAAAGGACCACGCCGCAACTCAGTTGAACGCCGATCCATGCAACCGGAAGTCGAAAGTGCTCTCCCAGACCCTCGGCAATGGCGTGGGACGCGTTTGGCTCAGCGGTGAAGTTCGTACAGTTCGCCAAGACCATCGAGACAACTCCCGAGACGAGGGCTGGCCCGGACGGACCATCCTGGCAAGAGCTCGAACTGGACAGGCAAACTTGGCCACTTGCGCATGTGGAATTTCCACACTGGCATGGGTAGCTTGAGCTGGAAGTGCTCCCGTCAATGATGCTGCAATTCGCGGCCGTCACACCCTTCCCACAGGCAACACAGTTTCTGCCCGGGTAGTTGTAAAACTCCGCACAGTTACCGCTTTGCTGGAAAGAGATGCTGTCTTGGCATTCTTGTGGGACGGTCGACCGGTCCAGATACTGCTCTTTGCCGGTCCACTCGAAGCCAGCGGTGAAGCCGCCGTTGCTGCACCATCCGCGGGAAACATAATTTGCACAAGACAAGCCGACACTATTCTGCCAGAACTGAGCATCGCCAATTTCGAGCGACATGCTTTTCTCATCGAAGCCTTGGTTCCAGTTGTGGAATCCAGTCATACACCTACCAGGAAGCTACTGGGCTGGATATGGAAATCGATGTCATATTGATTACACGATTTGCTAAATATATATATATATAGATATATAGATATATATATATATACACCCATAATAACATCTAGTTTTGCTATCTTGCTTTATGCCGACTTCGATAGCAAGAGCCCAGAAGCTCTCATCACAAAGCATCTTCCAAGACGAATCTCCCGTGGGTGGCCCAGCAGGGTGCGAGGTTTCGGAAGCAATTGCGGCGACGAAGTCACACGACCCGTCGTCATCAAGATCTGATGATCTCGTGGTGTTTGGTGGGGTCGTGCCAATCATCCACTTGGGTTGTGTGCCGAGTCCATCGCAATCAGGGTCAAAATAGAGGAAGTATCCATCCTCATCGCTGTAGAACGGCATGCCACTAGACGTGGTGCCTGTGCTCGCATAGACGCCATTCGCGCTTGCTTCACAGTGGCCACTGATCACGACGCTGTCGACAGTCTGACTCGGTGCTGCAACAGGGGCTTCGGGTGCTGTTGCTTCTGAAACATTGGCTGCCAGTATCAAATCACTGTCAAGTCGTAGCCCAGAAGGCACAGCCTCTGCAAGCGATGTGATCGGCACACCGAATGCCTGGAAGCCGCACAGCGTCAAGGCTCTCGTGCCTAACTGTTGAATCTGGATGATGGACCCCGTCGCGTGGCAGTCAAAGGTCTCCCAGACTCCTCGACCATTGACGCGCTTGTTGCTTGCACAACGGGCGAAGCTACTGCTCCCTGCATTGCCGACGAGGATGTCGATGTCTTGCAAGCCATCCTCTGTGCCATCACCGACTGCACTGAGCAGCGCCACGCTGGCAAACTGATACACTGTACCCTGGAAGTCCACCTTGTACCATGGACCCTCCTCCACATAGGTCTTGATGCACGTTCCCGGCCACCGCGGGTTTTTGTCTGGAACTAGCGGCAGAAAAGCTGCACCCGCAAACAGAAGCCCACTACTGACAATATTGCCTCCTGGGGGAAGGTAGTAATTGGAACTTGCAGATCCGACTCCTGTCAACGAATTGATGAGGTCGGCAGTTGCACAGACATGAAAATGACTATAAAGCCAGAACCCGCTAGCTCCCCCGTTCCAGCGAAGACTTTGAGGGGGTAGACGGTCCCCATATACGTTTGTTCCTGACACTTCTTGATAACAGCCTTGAGGACCACCACCTGAAACAAGCGGGTCCCAAACGCGAGTACCGATGTTCAAAGTGGCCCTTGCAGACTCACACTCCGCCCTGCTGCTTATGGGGCGATCAGGTAATCTACAAGGTGTCGCCACATTCCAAGTATAGGCGTTTAAGGTCAAGTATGGCCCTGCACAATGGCTGACGTCGGCAGAACACTTTTGACCTCTCCAGCAGGTCGTCCCTCCACAAGCGCATGGGTACGCTGAGCTTGCTCCACTCCCATCTTTGACGCTGCAGACCCTGTAACCTCCACGGACCGTCCCGTGGCGGCGTTTACGCAAGCTGGCAGAGTGTCCCAGGGTGCATGTTACGCTTCCGGTGCCAAGACCCCGGAACCAGTACTGGCAGCGACTATCCTCTCCGCATGCTTTGCAACACTTCTCGTCTAGCTGCAAGTCGTAGGTGCCAGTCCTTGGCAGTTTCTGCATGTGAACACTGTATACCATAAGCCCCTCAGTCCCCACCATACCAAGAAACGAACCTCCACGAAACATTCCGACTGCAGGACACAAGACTACAGGTGAAGCAAAACTGCAAGTGCTAGCAGGAGTCACAGTGACCTGCTTGAAGTCCGTCCCTTCCAGCGGAGTGTCTTCTTCGTATCGTGCCAGGCATTCCTTGGATCCGCCGCCGCAGGCACAGCAGGCTTCGTTGGCCGAGACTCCCCAGTAGGCGGACTTACTTCCAAAGGATGCACATCTGGCGGGTACTGATGAATACAACGCACATGTCCACAAGTCCGTGGACTCCCATGCACGAGTATATGTGCCTGTATCGAACAATTGGTCCAAACAAGGCTGGCACACTGTACCTCTCAGTACGTAGCCCTGGTTGCAGGAGGTGCAAATCTCACCACCGTGCGCATAGCACTCTGCTTGGCCTGGATAGGCGGGCACACCGTTGGCACATGTACAAACGTTGTCCGTGCAATGAGGAACGTTCTGTTTCAAATGTTTGCCAGGAATGCATGAAGAGCAATAGTGACCACCGTTTGTTTTACAGTCTGCACCTGTTGAAGCAGTACCGCCACGGCACTGACAAACGTTAGCTAGGCATGAGGCACCGAGCAACCTGTAACCTCTGTCGCAGCTTTGGCATACATGGGCGCCGCTGCTGGGGCAAGTCCCTGCCGCAGCAGCAGCACCATTGCTACAGCTGCAAACATAGGCTATGCATTGGCCACCCTGCAGGTAGTAGCCCGGATTGCAAGATCGGCAAGCTCTGTCAAGGGCGCACCCTGGCCACCTGGCCTGAAGGGCCTCACCATTCGGGCAGTTACAATCACCCCTGGTCTCACAGACCCTTGGGAACGGAGTCATCCAGTCGAAGCCCCCTCCCTTATAGCCATTGAAATGAAGCTGATTGCCCAACTTGACGATGCAGCCATAATGCTCCCACTGATCATACACGTAAAACTTATAGACTGCTGGAATGGATAAAAGGCTGGCTGCTTGTTGGCACCGGTATACATCATCCATTACCACCCATCCTCCCAGCGCATCTCCCCGGCACTCCTCGAAAATCGCGACCTGATAGCCGCTCCTCTTCCCCTCGAGCCCTTCTGCTAGCATCAGAGCGGTCTGCCGACATACGCACTTCCATTCGGCTGAGCACTGGCCCGTGTTGGTGCCAGCATTGAACCTCCTGTGGTCGCCTTTGGTTCTGTGGTAGCAACCTGACGGGCGATCGGCAAGGTTACCCACGTCGTTTATTGCTCCTCCAGGCCAATTCAGGTACGCAAGGGCGGCAGCGCACTCCGCAAGAGAATCGACGGGATCGGCACAACTGCCCGAAGTTACGAACTCCCAGGCGGCAGGAGCCGGCTGTGATGACGTGGTGGGCGCCGTGGTGGAACTCGGCGGCTGTGTTGATGAAGGCGACACCGTCGACGATGTTGGCGCCGGTGTCGTGGAAGTTGCCACGGGGGGAGGCGGTGCGAAGTCTGTATACTCTGACTCTGATATCGCCCCACGTCTTGGCCCCTGCCTGGTTGAGCAAACAGGGGCATAGCTGTCATTGTTCACGCCGCCGGCAACAGAGTTGAACCAGGCATCACCGTCTCTGGAGGCGATGCAACCTTGCGCAGCTCCATCTGGGCTGTCTGAGGATCGAAAGGTCAAGTTCCGGTCCAGTGCTGCAACTTCACACTGCATAGCACTCAAGGTATCAAGCGGCCCGCAGTCATTCAGACCATAGGCCCTCACCACGAAAGTCATACACTCGTTCAAACTAGACGTGCAGATCTGGCCAGTTGCACAGGTGACATTGCCACATGTGCATGGATAGGAGTCACTTGTGTAACTCCCATCTGCGACACTGCAAGGAACATCCTGACAGGTGTCTGAATTGCACACCTGGCCCGGCTGACACATGGCTTGTCCACAAGTGCATGGGTACACTGCGCTCAGGTTGCCGTCGTTCGCAGTGCACGGCTCTTGGACGTCACAAATAAGACCGAAATTCTCGCCGTTCACACCGCCGCCTGCCAAGTTGAACCACACGTCAGAGCTCGTGGAGACGACACAACCTGGTGCCCTTCCATCCATGAAGCCCGACTTTCGATAGCTCAGACCCAAGACAGATGCTGCCGCCTGGCAAAGCTCTGCAGACGCGATCGGATCAGTTCCGTTGCCACACTCACTTACCGAGAAGTCCGTTGTCGCGTAGTTCAACGCCATGCTTCTCAGCCAACTCGCGATGCTCGTCGTGTTACCTGCATCTTCCGCAAGCAACGATGCTGACCAGTTTGAGACCTCCATCGACTTCCTCTGCCTCCGAGTCTGGAGAGAGGAGAACATATCCAAACTGTCGCACTGTCGAGCTGCCTCTGCGCGATCGAGCGAGCCGCTTTGTGCTGCGTGAGCTGCTGCCGCTGCATGCTCCTGCGGTCACTCGTGGATGCTGTGACATGAAGCAGGCCGCAGAACTACCCACAAACTGCGTGCTCAAACCCCACATCCTACAATCCCAGGCTGAGCATCATTTTGCGCATTAACCTGATGCGACTGCATTAGGAAGGCAAACTTCCCGAAGGACAGATACTCATGCTCCCCTGCACCAGGTGAAAAGTCGCATGAGTCCTGCAACAGTCTGAACTCTAAACACACAAACCGAAAAACCCTCCGTCATGTGCAGGCGCAAGGGCACGTATGGGCTTTGGGTTCAGTTTTCGTGCCCTTTTCAACTCCCTGTTCAAGCTCGCTGGCCCGTGAAGCCATTTGGGGTAGCAAAGGGCGGAGCCCTTGACATGTGGCTCTATGTAGGAGCTCTTCCATCGCAATGCCCCACTTGAACGTGTCAGTGAAGACTGACTTGCATTTGCTGGGAATAGCATTGAACCAAAAGGAAGTGTCATCATGCACCCGGCCTCCACAGCTGCCATCACCTGCTGCAGCATCCGAGCGAACCCCAGGGAGTTACTGGTACTGGTGCGAAACTGCAAAGGACACATCGGACGTAGCCTTTCCCCGGTCGACGAGACAAGAAGTAGGGTTCAGGGTTTAGGAGTTTAGGAGATAGATGCAGGAAATCTCATCTCATGAACCTACCCCCCTGGCACGTCGAGGCTGACAGGCTGGCTCCTCTCGGCTTCAACCGCCGTCAAGAAACTGATGTGTGTTCAGAAATCCCCTAGAAAGCTGGAGCAAAGATTTCTGATCTCACGGCACGGCACAGCATGTCCGAAGAAGTATGCAGTCAAGTCTGTTATTTCGATGCCAAGGACGCATCAAGCCTGTAAGACTTGTCCTCACGCTCGAAAACTGCTGCCAAGCTGCCGCACATAGGATCCATCGGCTTATTTCCCACCGATGCATTGTTGCCACTTATAAGGGACAAGTTCGGCACACAAG